ACATTTTCTAAACTTGGCTTCCCCTAAGATACGATTTGAACTTGGAAGACTCAACTTTCAGCACCTTCGGAAGGCTCGTTTGGACTTGAATGGAGGCGAAATTTTGAGAAATTAGAGAGGTTTACTTGCGTAAAACGGAGGAGTGAGTGACATCGAGGTTCTGATCATTTTGCCTTTGCTTGAAGCGCTCATTAATCTCTGGTGGCCCAATTTTGGAAACCTGTGCGAATCTCAATCGGGTTTCGATTTTAGTGAAATTTTGTCAAAAACTTTAGTTCCATTTAAAACTGCTCAAAAATTCCGCTTCGGTATGGGCAGCAAAAATTTGGAAAAATGTTTCTAGTGATGTAAAATTTCAACTTTGGAGTCTCAACTTACGAAAACCTCAGCAGACTTATTAGCGCCCGAATAAGAGGGAATTTTTGAGGATTTATGATGGCATTACACCTTACAGTCTGCACAAATTTTGAAAACTGCTTATTTGTCCTCAAAGGTGAAAAGCTTTGAGAAAGATGCAAAAAACTGAAATTAGTCTGTTCCTAATTGAACTGGTGGAAATGTTTGCAAATAATAACCAGAAAGCGATAAACTAGGCGACTAGGAAACATACAAGTGTCGCATTTTAAGTAGCTTATAAACCTGTTGACTTGCGTGAAAATTAGATATCCGTTTAAATGCCGGCGAGAATGATTCGTTTTTCGCAAAACGTGCGCTAGTTTGCAGGCAAAAAATAACGATCGTCTCATGCTAATGGATCATTCGACAGTTTCATCAATTATTGATCTATGATTTAGAGGAGTGTCTCATGCATGTATTCATAAAACGATGCCACAAATGGGGATTTGTAGTCATGAGAAATAATCGCATTAACGGCGCCTCAAGTGTGAAAACATTTTATTCACGCAACGTTTTGGCGTAGATTTTTCTAGTTCGGAAATTAATTGCGTCTTCCAAGTATTTAGACTGAGCGAATTTTTGCCATGCCCTTTTAAGACAGCATCACAATTGACTTGAGAACTCAACAATTATCAAAAATCGTGACTTGATTTACATGTTTAATGGATTATAACGCCGTTAAATTACGAAATAATGAAGTAATCCTCAAGTTCCTACCCATATTTGATGTATGATTATATACGACTGGATATGGCTATTGCATAAGAGCAGAAGATAGCATATAATGCATAATTCTGAATACTTTTCCATGTACAGGATGATTCAAAATTTGTGGCAATTGCCAGAAGTTTATCTAGCAACTTTTAGACCAGAAAAGACAACAGATTTTTAGTTGTTCCTTGGAGGTTTTACACCTAAAATGGACTCGTTTGTGAAAAATTGCACCCGGAACTATTAGGCCTCCACGTGGATTGCAAATATGCCTGAATGACTGTGAGATTCATTGTTTCCAACCAGAACAATTTGCTTAATGCGCGACGAATTTAATTCAGTTCTACAGCTATTGATATGTGCATTAATGGCTTTGCCGAGATATTGCCAGAAATTCATCAGGTGAGACAGAAGACAAAACACTACAGTTAATTTAAAACCAAAAAATGCTTACAAACTGCAACGCAAAAATGAAGAAATCGCAAAAAAGGGGAAACTGGGCAGGTTTTTCTCTTGAACATTGGTCACTGCTTAACACTTTCAAACGGAAAGTAGTGGATTTGAATTGCAATTTATCCTTTAACTTGCTTCCAAAGATGACATGGAAAAAGTGTTTTAATAATTCAATGAAAACCCAAAACGACTCGGCTAATTTCACGTTTTGATCCGTCAACCCTGACACCCCATCCTCTATATCAACCCTCTTTGACAACAGGGACTTCCCTACACAAACACTTAATCTGTGCGCAATGCAATGTAACTAATTCGGTTAGCGGTGTAAAGAACATGGCAGCACAAAGTGATAAATGGGTACCAAGAGGGGTGGTTTTTCCTTACCAAAGCCACGAAATCAATCGCAGTTTCAAACGGGATTTCCTCATTTTCTGGCGTGATTTTTGCGCAGGGCTAATTTAGGCAAAAACCCACATGCCTAGAAATTGTCCCCTACGGGCTAAACCTATTACATAAGTCGACAATTGTGCCCGACCTCGACAACGTTCACTTTTTTCAGTTCTTTGCCAGCCAACAATGGAACAAAAGGGTGTCTACTCTTCGCAAAGCCGCCCTCAAAAGCTCTTGCGGTAACTGGCACTCACTACTCACCCTCCTGATGCTACTCGAGCAGACGCACCCTCTCGCACGGGTTTTAACGCAAAGCCGTCCGAATGTCTTTATTAAGAGGGATAGTTATGTCTACTTAGTGTTAGGCGAAAAATGAGCAAAACTCGTCTTGCTGGAATTTATCGGTTTCTGCAAGAAACGGTGTGCCCATCATTGACCAATCTTTCAAGCTCTATAAAAGCAGTGGTGTTTCATTTTTACGTGTTTTTACTAACAAATCTAATTCTGATGCTAATCCTTGACCAAAACTAGTGATGAACGAGACGAGAGAGGAGGGTTTTGATCATGCAACCATGCAAGTCTTGATCTTGACTTGCTCAAACAGCCCAAAGTCCCAGAAACGTTTCAAACTACTAAAGTTTGTACCATTTATGGAACACCCAGTATGCAACCTTAAAAATTTCTCACCGTATTCCCGATGGAATCCTTCGGCTGCATGGTAGATATATTTGTCCGCTATCTATATCGTCCAGTACTCTGTCATAATTAATTACTGCGCCGATAAAAATGAAGAGAAAAACGTTACTAATAGCGGGCTTAAGACAGCAGCCAGTTTTTTCTCAACTCGCCCGCCTCATTAACTTAAGCCGAATAAATCTTGGTTCGATTGATTGATCATCCAACGCTGATCAGATAATCACTGTGAATTTGTCCGATACCAATTGAAGAAAGTGTCCGAAAGAATTGTAGATGTCTATCTGGTCTTGTCGAGGAATTTTCGTCAACGGTATTTCATGGCTTTAGAGGTACAAATAGGGAATGATCAGGCCACTAACGAACGCTCTGCTATTGAACTTTGATATGCGGGATGTTCAGTTGGGTCTTTATTAGGACAGTCTACATTAAGTCGAGTTAAACTGAAAGCTTTTGTACAATTTTCTGAGGTTTCTTAAGTTAAAATGGCACGAATTAACCCTTAGATTGTTTACTTAAACCCAACAGATCCAATGCGTCAACTCTTGACCGATCTTCCAATCGCGTAAAACCGATAAGCATTCAATGAAAATCAAACAACTTTCTGTTGCATGTGATGGCCTATTTTATTGAGCCATTTGGAACAAAGCCTCCAGCGACCGTAGGGAGTCAAGAGCCAAGGAGGCATCGATTTGACTCATTGTTTCCTAAGCCACTTCAAAATGCTCGTTGCTTTCCCTTGTCGAGAAGAATGGGGTGAGAAGAAAGTCGCGAATTTTTGGCTTGAATCAAACTCAATATTCGAAACCTCAACATTTTTAAACGGTTTTAAGCTGCAACTTTGGGTGTTCGGATGGATCAGCGTTGTAAAAATTGTTGTTCTCCTGTCGGCACAACAAATGCATTAAAATAAAAAAAATCGTGCCTACAGCAATCGGATTGAAACCACTGAAAATCTTGACCAGAAACCTCAAAAGCTGGCGGAAGTTCCAGGGTTCAACGCTTCAACAAATCCAAACTTACTAAAGTAGGTTACAAGTTGCTTTTGCCCAGTTTTTTAGCATTCGAGTGAAACAAGCCGAACTTATGAAAGTCTTATTTTAAAGGACGATAAGTGGCCAGTAACTTGAGAGGTGAAAAAACTTCAAGAAGGATCTGAACATTACAGAAACGAGTAGGAATTTAATCAAGATTAGCTGGTAAACGATCAATAAAGCAGACTTAGTAATGATTTTATGCAAATTTGCTGACAATGAACGGATACTTGCATCAGAAGTGCCCATAAACGGTTTGACAAAAATGCCACTTCTAGGCTCGTTCTAATATATGACTTAATTTGAATATCGCCACGGATAGTCATCAAGAAATGCAAATCACCCAAGCAGAAGCATCTGTTGTGATGGAAAAAATCACCAAAGGAACAACAATGTCCAAAGTGTTTATTCCATTTCGATTGCAGCTGATACGCCACACATGGTCTAACTGATTTTTGAGAAAATTTCATCAAAAAAATCCTTTCAAGCCCTTTGTATATCTGTGGGTTTTCAACAGCTCACTGCCGAAAAAATACACCGTTCTCAGCCCTGAAAACCTCCACATTGAAGCACTAAATCATACGGTGTCTCCACGAAATAAATGAGAACCGACCCCCTCATCTCCGTCAATAAAACCGATGTTTGTTTTAAATTCTGCCGTATTTTTCTTGACTCCTTTTGTATAACAAACAATTCATCCAATAAATCTATCTGATTGTTCTCCCCGTTCAGACTGTCCTATTTTTGACTTACGCAGGTACGAACAGTCGTTAATGTCTTAAGCATGGCGCCCTTAACTCATAAGTTTAATCGTCTCATCAAGCGCTTGGAAAAGAGGAATGGACTAAATCGAAAAGCATCGATGTTAGAGTTGAATCTAAAAATACCCCAACATCAGAAAACTGTGGTTCTTTCCTAATGCCTGGATGCCTAACTAAAAGCGGCAAAACGTCTCCAATTTTGAAAACGCACTCTTCCTTTTCCATTGACTCAAATCCCGTTAGGGAGCCAATTTTACTCTTCAATAGTCGACTTTTGGCTCAGCCCTAGTGAAGTAGAGTGCGTACAAAAAAGTTGACAAATTGTTTATTTACACAGCAGCGTTTATTGATACGTAAACAATATAAGTCTGGTGTAATTGTGCGCCAGCAACGGATCCTCATGAATGGACGCATCTGAGACTTTTACGACCGTCTTAAATGGCTTACATATTTTTCGCTCGAAAGTCGGTTATCAGATCTTCTCACCATTTGCTGGCAGTTGATCGGGACGCATAGATGGGTGGATTGTAAGCAAACCACTTTGCAATAAAAAATCACTTACCGTTTGCCAACAGATGTTTCCTTGGCGGCCACTCCTTTGTAAAAGATCCTGGTCTCGACCTCACCATCACTGAGCGTGTTAACTGAAACAAAATCGCGAACCTCCACTTGGGCCTTCACATTGGCCAACATCCAGCAAAAGAGGACCGCCACCAGGATGTGGCCTTTACACCTGGGGCACCTCTTCTTTACCTTCCACATTCACTAAAACGGGTCCTTGTTACGGTTGATTGATGAAAATGGAGTACGCACGAACTCGTTCTTTTCCATCCTGAAATGTTAAAAACTTTCAATTATTTATTAGCTTTCGGTGGCGGAATTTCAGAATTCCGACTGACAAGTTCCTTGAAATGTTTTCGCAACTTTTCCTAGAGAACTTTTGCATAAACCTCGATCAAACACAGTGAGGCTGCTTATTTTCCTTGTCATTGAAATTGTTATTTTGAACGCAAAAAAAATTTCGCCTATGTGGACGGGATCTCCTGATCTTTTCTTTTGTACGCTTGCCAATAATCTAAATCAGACAATTTGCGCATCCTTAACTAGGCGAGTGAAATTGGAACCGATTGTACTGGAAAGTTGTAAAAAGTATATTTGATAAGCTTAAGGCCAATCGGAAAATCTGAGAATAGAGTGGACTGCAATTTCCAAATTTCCTGCGCTGTTTGAAGGGCGATAAAATGCCTCATGCGTTGCGGAAAATTAACGTAAATTAAGTAAAGATGTTGGTGATTATTTGGGCTAAACACGCTCCAAAGTGCGCGGATTTATTTTGAAAACTTAGCCGAAGGTAAACAGTTGGAGTCAAATTATTATCTGCAGTTATTTCAAGTAGACTTAGATGTTTGCCATGTCTGCTTGTGTTGATCTGGCCAAAAATTCCTCAGTTTGAATCAAAATTATGTCGTTTTCGTGCTTAATGATTTAAAAAACCTCCACCGGAGAAGTACGGAAGCGGAAGCATTGAAAGTGAAGTCCAAGGAGCCCATTTCGTTGCTTCCAAAATCTTTTTGAGACACCCCATATAAGCGAAGAAAAATATTCTGGCTGGCGCGGTTCACAATTATGCGAAATTTGGATAGAAAACACCAATTTGCTTGCCTTCCATGAATTGAACTCTTGAATAAAGTGGGCCACCCTGTCCATGTTACGCAACAATATTGTTTTAAATTTATCAGCTCAAGTGCCTGTATAAGCCCTAATACATATATAGCCGCTGCCAACAGCGTTCTACCGAAATTTGCGCATGTTTGGCATCGGTGTATCTCGAAAAAGAAATCCTATGTGGAAAATTACAGGCTAATATCTCACCGCTGGAGTCCAACGCGCTAGTTCGTACAAATAGGTGTTGAAGGGATTGTCAAACGTACTCGCTTCGGCGGTACATATACTAAAATTGGAACGATACAGAGAAGATTAGCATGGCCCCTGCGCAAGGATGACACGCAAAATCGTGAAGCGTTCCACATTTTTTTGCGAAATTTTTACCGTTTTTTCAGAGGAAAAGTGTAAGATGGAAGGCATTCGAACTAGCAAAACGCAAAAAAGAAGACGTGCATCGGGTCATTGTTTTCTTCAGAAATAACGCAGAATATAATTTATTTAAAATATTTTTCAAAGAACTTAGCCCTTAAAGGTGAGATGAAAAAATCGAGATTTTAACTTGTTAGACAAATAGTCCGATCAAACAACTTAATTTTGTGACGAATTTAATTAATTTTATTACGCAAAATATCTGGTAAAACTAGTTGAAACGGAAGAAAGCAGATGGTTTTAGGGCTGAAAACCCACATGTTGGGTAGAAGAAGAAGGATAAGAAGTCGTTTCGGGTATTTTATGTAATAACCATCATCAGGTATCAAAGACCTAAAACCACGTCACTCGAATCGTTCAAGAATGTCTTCTTTAAAAAGTCGATGTTCCGATTAACTCGATTTAATCTGAGTATGCAAATTTTACATTTATAACCAATTTTGTTTGTCCACTCATTGACCAGACTCTTCTTCACATTAGACAGCCAATGTTTTACGCTTCGCTCTAAAATCGAGCTGGGCATTTATTGACTCGCAACATCTGCTAAAAAGTAAACGTGTTAACGTGTAATAAGGTATTACTTGTTTAAATATATTAACGGCTCCAGGAGTGAGCAGAATGCAAATAAGCGAGTGATGAAAATAACACATTCTGTGGGCATTTCGAAAAGTGACCAGCCAGATCCTAACGGTTGCTCAGTCGGCGTTAGTTTCCTCACCAGTTAGTGTAGAGCAGAAGACTGGTTCCTTAGCTTTTTTGCATTTTCTATGACACTTTTCGCTAAACCTGCCCGAAAACCACGAAAGCAATTACGCTACAGAAAATACCAATTTACTCTTCGCGCTACATACTCGAGTAAGTGGCATTTTGGTCGCATATAAATCAACAGGTTTTGCAACCAATTTGACAGGAATTTTAAAGCAGTTGCTCTCACATCAATAACGGCGTCAAGTGGTTAATTTGTCATCTTTTTGGATTAATCCGCCGTTTATGGGACGCCATTTAACTGATTAGGAGGAGGATTTCACCACAATTAATTTAATCTAGTTGTAGCTTGGCTGGTTATTTAAACGTTTTCCGAGTAGTTGCCCCAAAACCCTTTGTAACTGTGAAGGAAAACTACCTAAAGGGCAGACGCTCAATCATCACTTAACATGCGGGAAGCCTGTAAAAACCCCGGGAAATTAATTAATGAACAAAATCGTCATGTCTGGTTCTTGATATGAACCAACAGGTCTAACTGGCCGAATGACAACTTCATTAAAGAAGATACCTATCGTAATGTTAATCCAAGCCGTGTCAAAACAGATCACAACTTAATTAGTGAAATGTATTAAGTTGATTTATATTGCGGTAATTGAATTTTTGCCATCCTTTCGCCCGATACCATCTCGACCCGAAGAAGCTGCTTTAATGCTCATTTATCGTCGTTTATATTAATTTTAATTGCTGATATGACTAAGTGAAACTTGATAATTGAAAAGGCAAAACTACTTACATTTCAGAAAATCCCATCAAAAAGCCATTCGACAACCCGCGGTTTCACCACTGAATGTTTTGGCCACCGACAAAAAAACAGAAACCGCAAACATCAGATATGAATTAACAAATAAAAAGCCACACTCGTCTCAAAGGCGCTCAATCAAAAAGTTGGCGTGCGAACAAATGCCGGCGATTAGCGAAACAATCGCAAAGCGTGTCCGCGGCCTTCTTGACTTTTCTCACGTGCCGGCAAGATACTGAATGAGAGGAAAACTCTCAAGTCTCTCATCGAAGAGAAGCGAAAATCTTGTTGGACCATTAGCGCAGCCTGATTCTCGATTCTTGGAGTTGAGGGCCCTCCTACTGGACTCAAACATTTCGTCATAGGACAATAGAAAAGGACGAGGGGCAAAGGATGAACAGTGAGGGTGTAGCCGAAACTGGCCAGTTTCGGTCAATCAGAACTTCACTGGTTTTTGCCACTAGAAAACTGTTATTTTTTCACAAACTATTTTGAACAGTTTTTTCTCAGTTTTTCAGTTTTTTCCTTGTCCAGAATGTCGATTATCTCACTAGTAATTTGTCAGTGAAAATTCCAGGTAAGTTAGGGGGCATTCGTGATGCGACTAATACGGTAATTCTAAAGTAGGTTCTTGATTTAACGAGGCTCAAATTACAGTCATTCATATTTTTGGCCCCAGGCTGTAGGTTTTCAGCCCTAAAACCATCAGCTTTCTTCAAATCAACGCCTCAACTTGACATGGTGATAGTAAAAGGATGCATTATTTAGCAAAAATGTTCAATTTTCCTCCTTCTTCTTGCCTTCTATTAAAAATTCCGAATTTGCTAAGCTCTATTTCAACTAGTTTTACCAGAGGTTCTGCTTAATAAAACATCGTAGTCGCAAAAAAATTTTGTCGTTYGATTTTGCGGAATTCTCAATTTTGTAATCTCWCWCTCATTAGTTCTTTGAAAAATATTTTAAATAAAATACATTCTGCATTATTTCTGAAGCAAACAATGACCCGATGAACGTCCTCTTTGATCCCTAAAAGACATTTTTCTTGACGTTTTRTTARCTCGAATGCCTYCSATCTTCCACTTTCMTTGTGAAAAAATGGTAAAAATTTCGCAAAAAAATGTGGAACGCTTCACGATTTTGCGTGTCATCCTTGCGCAGGGGCCATGCTAATCTTCTCTGTATCGTTCCAATTTTAGTATATGTACCGCCGAAGCGAGTACACTTGGCAATCCCTTCAACAGCTATTTGTACCAACTAGCGCGTTGGACTGCGGCGGTGAGATATTAGCCTGTCACTTTCCACAGGGGATTTCTTTTTCGAGAGACACCGTTGCCAAACATGCGCAAATTTCGGTGGAATCTTCTAGAAATGTGATAGAATTTGCATAGCAGTTGTGCTTGATGTCTTTTGCGCTGATAATTTGGAAAAATATATGGTTGCATAACATGTAAAGGGTCGTCCAGTCTATGCAAGAGTTGGATTCACAGATGCCAAGCAAATTGGAGTTTTCGATCCAAATTTGAAACTGTTAACCGCGCCAGAAGTTAACAGAATATTTTTCTTAACGGAACGTTTTGTATATGGTAACAAAATAGGCATCTCGCAATTCACTTTCAATAAGGCAAAATTTCGACCAAAATTTTTWAATTATTTCAAAAAAGGCCATCGGCCAAAAATTCTTCATTCAAATCTTATAATCGTAAGTTTAATGTGGTAACGGCAATTCCGGTACTCAAAAATTGATTATTTTCGCTTTACTAGCTGGGTTAGTTTGGGTCAGAATACGAATTTTGCGCGGACGTTTTGTTAGTACGCATGGCTACCATCTTCAGAGATGGATTCGCTTCGGAGTCAAATATCGCTCCCATTCCCATCGACGATGCCTTAATAAAAACTGGCTCTTTGTGAAAAGGCATCATAAATTTCACTTTCAATGTGGGAAAAATTGCGAAAAATGCATCATTAAAAAACAGCATTAAATCATTTCGGGCATTAAAAAAATCCAGTAGTAATTGATGACACAATTAAATAATTTTCAATACCACTGAACCCCGCTGATCATTTTTGAAACAAAACCAAAGCAAAAACCTTTCAGACTCACTTGACCCATGGTGCAAACAATCTGTTCCGCATCCCCAACCCGACCAAACAACCCCCTGGTTTCCATGGTATCAGCTTTAAAACGCATTGCCATTGGCCGCATGCCCAACGTCCCGACGCAAAATCTACAGAGGTAGGATTTGCACCACTGTTCAAAAGGTTGGTGGAAAAGAATCGTGAAAAACCGTATAATTTCCTTTTCAGTTACACCGGCCACATTCCAACTCAGTATATGGTAAAATTTGGGTGCAGCTACCAGTCAACCATCATAAAACTTTCGGTGTCGTTACTTAAATCGCCGCTCTTAACTCAAAAGCTGATTGGACTAGAAACGTGTTGTCATAGCAATGGAATATATATAGGCAATTTGTTTCAAAAACTGGCCGCTGTCCGACACGTGAGTGGGTGGTCCGAAGAAAAATGGGAAAATTGAATCTATTGTATCGTGCGTTTAGACCCGGAAGAATGTACTGTTACGTTTTCACGTTTTATTTATGTTGGAAAAATCGGGTTTTGAATAATTGCATAGGCTGGTGTATGGTTTAGAAGCTGCAACCGATACGATTGTATGACAGAATTTTAATATGTTGTTTATATTAATAAATGCATTTAAAAGTTCAGTCGGTTATTTCTTCTTTTGAGACTTCTTGCCATCCTTTCCCTTTTTGCCTAAAATCATTTTAAATCAGTGTGTATAAACCTTGGCCATGAAGCATCCAATACCTTTCTTCCCCCGTCGCTTGTGCTTCCTTTCCCTAAAAGCCCTCCAAGCCCTTTGGATAACACGAGCCGACCGATTGATCAGCATTTTATAGGCGATTTCCTGGAACAGTCGCTCCTCCTCTTCTTCCTTCTCCGCCATTAGGGTGCTGTACAGCCGATCCTGTTCTTCCATTTTGTTCTCCAAGTCATCCATCGCCTCCTTTTCGCTATCGAATCTATCAACAATCGATTTCTTCAAAAGCCCAAACAGCCGAAGCACTTGAAGAACCTTACTGCGCTTTGAGTTCTTCATATTCCGCCTGTTTTTCCCCAATGTCCTGGTCGTACTTGGTCAGCCAGTTCTGAAGCTGAGTCTCAGTTTTCATCGTTTTGGCCCTCAGCTTCTTCTCATCGTCTAAATCGTCCTCTAGAAGCTTTTGGTATTGAGCGGTTATCGCTTCGGCTTCAGCTGATAGAGCCGCCTGCTTCTCCTCACTCTCCAGGCACTGTTGCATCATTTTGCGCTCGGACTCATGGCTTGAAATATTAACATTTCATTATCTGAGCTTTGGAGAAGCTCAGTTCAATTTCACTGACACTCACATGTTCTTCTCAATGCTAATTTGGAACTCCTCTTTGATGTCCGCGATTTTCTTGTTGTATTTTTCGAAAATCTCCACTTTCTTATTCAGCTCGTTGCCCAGCTGTTCGCGTTGCGTCTTAAGCTGCTGTTCCAGATCTATTGGAAGTTGTTCAAGTGCTTAAAAAAAAACTGGCAAAAACCGGTTTTAGGTACCTTGGATGGCCGCGATTAACATTACATTTGACTTGTAGGCCTGCCTCAATTGTTTGTCTCGCGCCTCCTCCTCTGTTCCAGTGACGTACAGCTTGATTTTGGCCATCTCCTTCAGCTCCTCAAAGTCGCGAATAAATCGCACCACGTAAGGGATGGTGACGGGATTGTCGGCATTGCTAATCTCCTGTCGAATGCACTTATTGGTGAAGATCATGTGGATTACTTGGGACAAGTTGGCGTCCACCACAACGTCTTCTGATATCCGGGAGCGCTGAAAGTTGAATAAACCGGAATTTACTTCGCTCACTGTTTATTGATGGCGATTTTTTTACAACTCTGCTCAGTTTAACTCTATTGATGGTCTCATATAAATCGCCCACACAACGTGGAGTTTCGGCGCCAGTCTTTTCCTCGTAGGATTTCAGCGCGTAGTTGATGAAACCCATTTCTTCCTCCGAAAAGTTCTCCCGCAGGATCTTTGAGTCGTTTTCCATCAGCAATGGCATATGGGCCTGAAATTTACCAAGCTAAACACGTCTGAAATTGTTATCAAGTCAATTAAAACAAATGGTTTATTGATAACCAAAGTACGTAGCAAATGTTATACACTATCAAGGCCTAATAGTTGTTAATGCTTAAACTGAGCCGTCTACTAACGAATGTTCGATTAATGTTGCAAACTTTTTGTGTTAATCGGCAAATTTACATTATATTCCCATTTAGTTAACCATGCGAATTAGGCTATTTCTACTTCTAATACTAATAACACACGCTTAAAATGCTACTTATCGGTCATATTTGCATGCTGATTTATGCGTTTATCTAACAATTTTTTAATTTTTTAAAGCTCTGATTTATTTGGTTTAATTGGCATATATTAGCTGAAAATTTGAAATAAACGATATGAACATTTTTATTTCACATTTGGACTGAAGCCCAGGAAGGAAAAAGTTTAATAACAATTACACGCAGTCATAAATCAAAATCTAAACACTCTCTAATGCGTTTGTCATCAATGGCAAAATAATTGACAAATGTAGATTAGTTCATTTGGTATTGGTATGAGACTTTTCATCATGCCATTTCAACGATCAGTCATGCTAGTCGATCAGTCAAAGTTAAAATGAATAAGCGTTTCGACAAATGAAAAGTGTTTAAAGAAAAATCAGTATGTTTTCCATCTAGTAAATTCAGTTTGTCTGATGTTGAAGGCCTGATGTTCCCTTCGGAGGCGAATCACCGCTGAAGATGGTAGCTATGGGTGCTGGCGAAACATTGAGACTATCCTCCTAGTGACGACGGCCTAAAGATCCCGAACCGATCAGCACAAAAGTCTTCATCAATGAAAAACCTGAGAACAACTGAACTGAAATTAATTTGTTATTTGTATGGGACTTGACCACTCCAACGGTCAATCACTGCATCAAAACAAAACTTGTTAAGCGTTTCTGCGTCTTAAAAGCCGATAAGGAAAATGTCTAAAACAATTCCCATAGAACCTATTGAAAAATTCAGTTTTTCCGCGATCGGCTCGTTAAATGGTGCAAGCGTTATCGTTGTCAATTTACATGATATGCCATGCAAAGCAAGTGAGTTCTGCACTAAAAACACGTAATTATATTCTGTGACAACACTAAAAATGTATCAATTATCAAACGAAGGGAGATTATCGGCAAAGGAGCCATTTAAGGCTAATTCATATTCATTTTATCGCACTTATTGAGTGAGTGGAGTTTAAAAAGACGCTCAACTTGTTCAGGAGGGTTAGTTTAATCGAGTTCCCCAGCTGGTGGCGATCATGTACAAACTATGCATTTTCCTGCCACTTTTCCTGGGGGTGGCTTCAAAGCCTAACTATTCACTTCGCGTTAAACGGGACGCAGTCACTGATCCCAGCCAATCATGCAACAGTCTGGTCTATTGCCAGGGAAGTCTTCTGGATACGGTGCAAAGAGCGCGGATTTTTTCAGACTCCAAAACATTCGTCGACATGAGCCAAATCAATACTGAAGAAATCACGCTGAGAAACTTTAACGCTTTACTAGCCCAGACCAACAACAACCCCACCAAGGCGGAAGTTGCCCAGTTTGTGCAGGAAAACTTCGAAAACGACACCGAGCTGGCAACGTGGACCCCGGAAGATTTCAATCCCAGCCCACGCTTCCTGAAGAGGATCAAAGACGATGAAATAAAAACGTTTGCTTCAGACCTGGTAGGCATTTGGCCGTCCCTCGGCCGAAAGGTTTCAAGCACCGTTTTCCAAAACCCCGAAAAACACTCTCTAATTGGGGTTCCCAATGGAATCATTATACCAGGGGGCCGATTTAAGGAATTCTACTACTGGGACTCCTACTGGATCATTGAAGGCCTGCTTATAAGCGACATGCCCCGAACTGCCAGGGGAATGATCGAGAATCTGCTTTCAATGGTAGAGACTTATGGGTTTGTCCCAAACGGCGGAAGAATCTACTATTTGAATCGGTGAGTTTAGAGCGGGGTTGGATTGGGGTTGTTAGGGCTAATTGGGCTGTAGGTCCCAACCTCCTTTACTCACCCTGATGGCTGCGCTCTACTTGAAATACACTGACGATATCGAGTGGATCAGGGCCAAAATTGGAGTCTTGGACAAAGAACTCACTTATTGGCTGCAGGAGAAGACTGTGGACGTTGTGGTAAAAGAGCGCCAGCATCGACTGGCGCATTATATTTCGGAAAGCACCACTCCCAGGCCGGAGTCCTACTATGAAGACATTACCACCTGCACTTACTTTCCAGATGGAGAACAGCAAGTAAGTCGCACAGAAGATTCACTTTTCAAACAGCTGGTAGTTTCAGTCGAGTCAATGCAATATAATTATATACTTGTTATTTAGAAACATTGCTATCAAGGCCTGAAAAGTGGCGCTGAAAGCGGTTGGGACTTTTCCAGCCGATGGTTTTTCGATGAGGATGGAGGAGTCAAAACGAACTTAACTCACATCGATGCCCAACGCGTGATTCCAGTCGATCTGAACGCTTTTCTATGTGGGGCTTTTAGGAAATTATCCAGGTGAGTTTCCCCATGTTTAATACCTGCCTTGGCTTTAAATGAAACTGGAAATTTTGGATATTTCAGCTTTTACTTCCTCATCGGAGATGGGCAAAATGCCCTAAAATGGGCCCAGCACTCGGAAAGCTGGCTAATTGCGATAAATCAAGTCCTGTACGATGATCAGGACGGAATTTGGTACGACTTTGATTTGGTAAGCTATTTGGTGAGTTAAGGCGCAACTTCACTCTCGTTTTTTTAGGACTTATCGAGGCCAAGAAAAATGTTCTTTCCCAGCAACTTTGCTCCCTTATGGCCGGACTTGTACGATGCGGAGCAAAAGAAAATCTACGGCAAAAAGGCGGCAAAGTATTTCAAAAAATTACGCATCGACGAGTTCAAAGGCGGCATTCCGACCTCGCTGGACCAAAACAATGAGCAATGGGACCTGCCCAATGCTTGGCCGCCTCTTCAAGAGTTGGTGATTTTAGGTAAGCGCCACAGAACCCCAAATCGTCCTAAAAGACAACTTTCTTCAATTGCTAGGACTGTGGGACAGCGGCGATCGCCTGGGAAAGCAGATAGCTAAAAAGTCTGCAGGGCGATGGATCGAGGCCAATCTTAAGGGCTACCAGGAGCAAAATGCGATGTTTGAAAAGTACGACTCCTCCAGAGTGGGCCAATATGGAGGAGGAGGCGAATATGAGGTGCAAAAGGGATTCGGCTGGACCAATGGCGTGGCTCTGAAGCTCATCGACAAATTCTACGCAAGAAACACTGATGATGAGGAAAATAGTAATGAAATCGGCGATTAAACGCTATAAACTACGTAACTTTGAGTCTTACCATTACGCTCAACATCGCTACAGCTTTGTTCAGGGAGAACATCACACGATCAGCTTGGATCCGCAGCTCCATCTCCATTGGCGACAAAGTCTCGGGCTTTTCAATGTCCAAACCTGCAAAAAAGTCGTCTTTGTCCCCATTTTCGATGATGGAGTTGAGCGGCTTCGGTTTTCTTTTTAGGTGTTTTTCCACTGATTCTTTGGAAGTCATTTGGGCTGAACTTGTCAACAGGCAATACAGGGTGGCAATGTTTAGTCGATAAGGCCGCTAGGCAACTATTTGGGAGTTAAAAATGGTTGATTTGTGTGGGGATCGGGTGGAAATTAGCTTCGACTGCAAAAGTACTCATTGTATATTTAACTGGTGTTCAAAAATTGCACAATCACAATGAAATGATTCGATGTAACGGTTAGCAGGAGGATTATGGCTTTGCGGTTCACTTCGAAGCAGCGGAACGCCAGGAATTCTATTCGGGTGTTGTTCATTTGGTCCATGAAATCTTCCAGTTCTTGATGTCTTTTCGTGAAAATGTCCAGAGGCTTTTGCAGGTCACGGCAGGTTTTCAGCAGCGTTTGGGCCTCCCTTTTGGCAAAATCGCAGCACATTGTTGTTATCACCGGTATACACTGAAAACGAAATATTATCTTCAGTTTGAACAAAAAGACGGTTGAAATTTTCACGCATAACCAATTACCAAAAACAGCACGCTTAGCACCAAGACAATGGCAAAATTCGGTTGCGATTGAAGATCCAGTTCGCTTTTCCTATGGACAAACAGAGTGGTTGAAACCTCCAGCACCTGAATGCCATAGAGAAAGTGCATTAAGAAAATTGTGGGCCCGAATATTCCATTCATTATGTCCACAATTAGATACATTTCATGGTAGATAATGCGGCACTTTCTGGTAATCTCGATGGCGTTGTGGAATTGCGCGTGCTTGCAGCTTTTCAGCTTTTCGTGGGCGCCAGCAAACTTTAGCTTGATGGCGACGCAAAGATTATTAATGATCATGCTGATTGTGAAGTTGTAGAAGAACATCGCAATGCGGAAACCATCCGAAGCGTCCAGCTCGTCGAAGAAAAAGTAATACGCCATAATAGTGATGGCAAGGAAGATGTTCCCGAAGAGGAAATGCAGCAAAGCGTTCTTGAAAATGTTGGGCTCTTTTTCGTTTTCCGTATTAAGAAACGTGGCGCTCTCCAAAAAGCTGAGTCGCTGGAGTAAATCCTGCCACTTCAGCCTGCTTTGATACGAACAGGTCATCACTTGTAGTATAGTAGCCCCGCCTAAAACCATCACTAAAGTACTGAAGGCGAAAAATAACTGCGACTGGCCGCTGGGGAGGTTCTGGTACTTATTTCCGAACCCCACAGTCATGGAATAGAGTAAAACTCCCTTCAGCACAAGCGTGTACCCGATGTAGCACTTGGTGAGTACAAGTTTCTTCTCCGAAAAATCATAGGGCGGCACGAGGCCGAAAAGGCTGGAAACTAGCAAGATTGGTTTGAAGAAAGCAATGGAACGCCTGCTGTAATTCAGTGTCTCCATTGTGTACGAATGGCAGACCGTTCGCATGCTCAATAATTAATGAAAAGGTGTAATCTACTTAGGAAACACTCGCTAATGGCATGAATATTGTCAGAAGCAATAAAAATTCATTAATTATGTTTATCGGGAAAAGCTATTAGGGAAATAGGTGCACATAATAAATTTTCCAGAAGAGTTTCACCTAATGACTTTAGCGAAATGTTCGAGAGAACTGTTGTTGTAGTCAGAATCCTCAGGTATTCCATAGTATCTGCCTAAATTCTAGTCATTAATCATTTGATTGAGTGGTAAGAACGAAAACAGATCTTGAACGCTATCGCTTATCATGTGATGGAAATTCCACCAGATCACTGCCCGATATCGTGACCTGATTGTTCTACTAGAGCATGCGAAACAGGCAAGAAACCGCAAAAAAGCACTTCAGGTTCAAGTGTGGCTAAAGATCCGAGCTGATGAACGGCCGAAAATCATCTGGCAAACTGTTGGCCAAAAACAGCTTCAGCAAAAATTCCTCGCGTAAACTGAGTGAACGTAGCTAGGCGGTATTCGCATCCTATTGTGCACCAAGTGGGGTTTTATCAATTATCAAGCATGTAGGTACTTGAAAACTACATCAACAATATAATGCAAAAAGCTCTATAAAAGTTGAAGGTGGTAGCTTGAAAACAGTTGCCAGTGGACATTCGACGCGAAATAATTCATTAAATCATGAAACCCCTGGTTTCAGCTGTAGGTAAGTAGCTGGTAAAACCCTCTGGGGAGGATTTAAACAGACCATCGTCACTCCACAGTTGTGTGCGTTGTTGCGCTGTTCGCACGAGCAAATGGTCTGACTTTCTCAACTGACCCAACCAGCGACGTTTTGTCCACCGTCAGCACATCCTTCCTCAGCGTCGCTTTGGATACTGGCCTGATCGCATCTGCGGATTTTTCGTGAGTTTTCAACCCCTATCTGGTGCATGGCATTTTTTCCATTTTGCAATTCCAGCAACCCCACGTTCAGCAAACTGGTCAAGCTTCTGGCGCCCATGCACTTTAGAATCGGAGGAACTGCGGCTGATGTTCTCAGCTTTGTGGATGACTCCGACCTGGACACCACCTCCAAAGTAGGAGATGATCTGGTCTTAACAGGTATTTACTCAGTCGGTGTTGTACACAACGGGAATGAGGAAAATCAACCCGATTGTAGCGTCTTCTTGGTTGAAACTGGCGGAGTTTGCCAAAAACTCGGAAGTCACCATCCTGTTCGACCTCAATTCCTTGCTGCGAAATGAGGACGGGTCTTGGAACCAGGAAAACGCGGAGCAACTGATCAAATTTTCACGGGAACATGATATAGAGCTGGACTGGGAGTTGGGGAATGGTAGGGAAAGATTTGCAAATTTTTCGCAAAACACCGTGCAACGTTTTTAGAGCCCGACTTGTACCAGGCGCTTTACAGTCGCGAAGTGAGCGCTTATCAACTGGCTGTTGACTACCACAACCTTCGGGCCTTATTGGACCAGTATCAGTACGATTCTTCTTTACTAGTGGGACCAAGTATGTTTGATGTGGGAAGCAGCGACAGCACCACGTCCTACCTGTGGAACTTCGTTTATGAAGCTTCTTCTTCCATCAGCGCAGTCACTTGGCATCAGTAAGTACGCTCATTAACACGCCTAGTCAACTAGACAGTCCTACCGTGCTTTAGATATTACTTCAATGGGCGCGATGCTACTGAAGAATTGTTCCTCAATCCCGAGACTTTTGATTATCTGAAACAGCGAACAGAAGTGGTTAATGACATAGTGGGAGCATCCAAAAGAGTCTGGCTAGGTAGCACTGATCAGACGGGGGAAAAGACATACTAGACAAGTACTATTGCAGGTGAAACCTCTTCCTGCTACAACCAAGGAGCTCCAGGCATGAGCGATAGAGTCCTGGCTTCTTTCCTCTGGCTGGATAAGTTAGGACTTGGTGCCCAACTGGGCTTGGATGTTATTGTGCGCCAAACCATTTGGGGCTACAATTACCCCCTATTGGATAGCGACTACAATCCTAATCCTGTAAGGAGGAGTATTCCCCATTGAACCCAAAAGTAGTTTAAAAAAATCGACTTTTTTAGGATTGGTGGATCAGCGCGTTATACAAGAAGTTCGTAGGCCCCAAAGTACTCTCCATTGAAAACGATGGAGGAGATTCACTGCCGGTAAGGCTGTACGCCCATTGCGCTAAGCCAGACGATCAATGGGGAGACAATGCTGTAGTAGGTAAAATCAAAAATCCGATTTAAATGAAAAGGTTCGCAGTTTACAATATTTTTTAATAGTGTTTGGAATCAACTTAGCGAACTCTACACAAAAATTCAGCCTTTCAGGATTCTCACCCGAAGTTAAAACTGACGGCAACCTTGGCTTCTTGTTCGAATTAACTGCGGAAACCGATCTGTATTCTCAGTAAGGACAGAGGCACTAAATGCTTGTATGGGTTTAAAAAAAAATTGCTCTTTAGATCGTTTCGCCTGAATGGGGGACTTCTCTCCTTAACTGAAGACTTGGAACTGCCCGATTTGGGAGTGCGAATCATAGATATGGAAAAAATCTATACAATGGCAGCCCATTCTTTGGCTTTCTGGTTATTGCCCAACTCCCGTGTGCAAGCTTGCAAATAACCGATGTATATTTTATAATAGATTTTTTACATGTAGGATTCGTAGTTTCTATTCTCCCAACTTCTGAGCTCAGAAAGCTGTTGTTTGGTTTTTTCTTCGGGGCAAAAAATTGAAAGAAGCTCCTAATAGAATAAAGGTTTAGTTGTGGCCTTTAGGCCTGGGTTATACTGTGCCTTAAGACACTTGTGTGTTAATGCCGCTCTGTGTGTCTATGTGCCGCGACACAGCGCAAAGGATGCCGAAAATATCTATCATTTCGGATCTAAAGCTTCTAGCAAGTTTTTTAATGAGTTCGATGCAATCTTCGCGTCCGTACGCTGAAAATGATGTGGAATTTAAGACGTTTTGAGAAAATTTTCATTTTTTCAAAAAATCGACCCCCACCCTTGGAAAAATTTCGACCAAAAATCAAAATTTTACTTGCGTGTTTTTTGAGCTCAATCGATTCCTTTCGACGTGAGAAAGTCATAAATATGCATTTGCAAAGTGTTTGGGTCAATGATAAGGAAGAAATCGTCGGCTAAAGATCGTGAGCGCTCAAAAACGCTTAAAACATGCCGAAAATGTCTATTATTTCGGATCTGAAGCTTCTAGCAAGTTTTTTAATGAGTTCGATGTATTCCTGACGTCCGTGAGCTGAAAATGATGTAAAATTTAAGACGTTTTGAGAAAATTTTCATTTTTTCAAAACATCGACCCCCACCCTTGGAAAAATTTCGACCAAAAATCAAATTTTGCAAAATTATACTACTTAATTCACGAAACACATAGTCTTTTTTTTGGAAAATAATTCCCAACATATGAAAAGTCTGGCGCACTGTGTCGCTGTAACAATACAGCAAGCCGTATCGGTGTCGCTGTGTGAACACCTGAAAATCCACTGTGTTACCCAGGCTTCGATTGATTCGTAACTGATACCTTTCGCAAGTGCAACAAGGCAGTTCGCTCATTGCGTGAATTGAAAAAAGACGTAAGACAGGAGGAGCTCCGAACATCACCGAAGGAATCCGATTTGCTGTTTCGGCTGGGGGCGTCTTCCGTCTAACTCAAACCCACGCGTTTATGACTTTACCTTGTTCCACCCATATCCTCGCCCAGACAATTTGGATTCACATGAAACATTCGCGTTTTCAACACAAAGTCAATGGCACTTGACTTTGGAAACACCGAAAATACGTTTGAAGATAACAAAAAGCGAAAAAATGTAGTTTTCTCTGTCCTTTTACTATTTTGCCGTTGATTATCCGTATCACCAAGAGTTATGATAATCTTCAAGTGCGCCACTGCTGACGAAAATTCATCAAAACAATATAATTGAAAAACTATATAAAAGCGCAAACTTAAGGTTTGTAAACACTTCATTCCAGTATTTGACTTGATACCAGTCCAGTGTTGAATCGTCGGCAATTATGAGGGGAATTATGTTAAGTTTAGGTAAGTGAAATACGGTAACCAGAAAAACATTTAATTTGCAAAATTGGATTTCAGCACTATGTTTAGTTCCATTTTTTGGATTGAGCGAGAGCCTCACGTATAGACTGGACCCAGAAAGTGAGGCTCTATTCACAGTTAGTGACAATTTCTTGAGTGTGGCTTACGATACGTGGCTTTTGTATGCTGCAGATTTCTCGTGAGTGTTAAAAATTTCGCCCACGTCCAAAGTGCTCCTGATGTTGAAATTTTAGCAATCCCCAATTCCTACAGCTGGTTAAGCTTCTTTCCCCCATGTACTTTCGAATCGGAGGTACCACAGCTGATATTGTGATTTTTGTCGATGATTCCAATACGGAACAAGTGCACATTAGAGACGATGACGTTATTATCTTAACAGGTACTTTGGGAACTTTTCTGAGAAAACAGTTGCTTCAATGTTTCTCCCATTTGCAGCTTCCTACTGGTTGGAACTGACCGAATTTGCCAAAAAAGCGGGTGTGAGAATACTGTTTGATTTGAACTCGTTAACAAGAAACGAGGATGGTTCATGGAATTCGGAAAACGCTGAGCAACTTATACGGTTTTCTCGGGAAAATGATATTGATCTCGACTGGGAACTAGGAAATGGTAAGGACTGAAAGGGCTTGAAAGAGAAGGTCAAAAGTTTAAAGAAAATACTTTAAAATTAGTTGGAATAGAAAAAAAGTCTCAAACACCCACATCGGGATTTGTTATTTTCTTCTTTTTCTTACACCCATAACAATAATTCAGATAATTGATCACTTTTGCGGGTAGGAGGTGTATTTTTTCAATTTTTATTGTTGTTTATATCGAACCCATCGACTTCTGTACTGTATTTAATCAGATGAGACCGTTTATCGTCATGTCAAGTGTGTTGATCCAGCACCTCATTTACATCGATAAATTGGATTGTTGATTCTTGTTTGTTTTAATTAAATAATATGTAAGTAGTTAATCAGCGTATAAATCTATAAACACTTAGATTAATGGGTTTTTTGAGCAATTAAGTTTTGCTTAATTGCTTAAAATGTTACTATACTTGAACAAAAAAAACAAATTTTTGTATTTTAGAGCCCGATATTTACTATCTTACCTTCAACACATCTGTAAGCGCTAATCAACTGGCTCAAGACTACAATAAATTGCGCGCCCTCCTAGATCAATATGAGTATGATTCCTCTTATGTGGTGGGACCCAGTATGTTTGACGTGGGAAATGGCGAGGGAACTAAGGCATATTTGAGGGAGTTTTTGAGTGGCGCCTCTTCCTCAATTTACGCGGTTTCCTGGCACCAGTAAGTCCACCTCTAAGCCTCCAAAGCCCAAAATTTCACTAGAAGGTTCCAGGTATTACTTCAGCGGCTTGACTGCAACTGAAGCCGACTTCCTCAACACGGATTATTTCAACTTCCTCGAAGAGCGCACTAAAGTAGTTACCGGCATAGTTGGAAGCTCCAACAAAGTCTGGCTGGGTAAGTGAGGATAATTGAGGACGAAATGGAGATTTTTTATAATACTTATAGCGGAAACTTCCTCATGCAACAACAGGGGCGCCGAAGGTAAGTCCGATCGATTCCTGGCCTCGTTCCTCTGGCTGGACAAGCTGGGACTTACCGCTAAACTTGGGGTGGATCTGCTGGTTAGGCAAACCATCTGGGGTTACAACTATCCATTATTGAACAACGAATATGGTCCGAATTCGGTAAGTTGGCGTTTCCAAGGGCCGGTATCGCCAACTCTAGTTAACCTTATCTGTTGATTTTTTCGTTATTAGCATTTGATTTCTAGATATTTTTCTTTAATTGTGCGTTTACAGGATTGGTGGATAAGCATTTTGCACAAGAAGGTGGTTGGAAGTACCGTCATCCCTCTTACTAACGATGGGGAAGATTCCAGGCCTGTAAGGCTGTATGCGCAATGCGCTAAGTCAGACTCTCTGTGGGGCGATGAAGCTGTAGTAGGTACGAACAGCAGTGCATCAGCATTAAATTAAAAATTCCCAATAAAAACCTTTTTTGGGTAGTTTTCGGACTCAATCTAGCAGATTCTCCGCAGACCTTCACTCTATCTGGTATTGGAGCTTCCGATGTCGACGTCAGCATTGGCTATTTGTTTGAATTGACTCCCGAAACCGATCTCTATTCGAAGTAAGTAACTGCAAAATTCCTAAAGGCGGTAGAAGAATAACGCTTTTTTTCTTAGCAACGTTCGGTTGAATGGCGAAGTCTTGAGTCTTACTGAAGATCTGGAGCTGCCCGACTTAACACCAAAGTTGATTGAATTGAACGAGGAATTTACGATGCCTGCCCATTCTTTGGCTTTCTGGATTTTCCCCAATGCAAATTTTAGGGCTTGCAGCTAGACAGTAACTTTTTTACGCAAATAAACAGTATTTTTTTAATTGATTTTGTTTATATTTGGTTTAACAACTTTTTTTCAACACGATTTCAACCCAATATGAGGAAATAATGTATATTTTTTATCAAAATATAATCAAATCAATAATATTTGTAATCCCCTACATATTTAATATTACTGGTACCATCTGTGAAGCTCAGTACGAAAACCACTGGTAACTTACCATGCAGCGACTTCCCGAAGCATTGGGAAGTGGCCAACAGGCGGCTCTAGTCATATTAAAAAAGCTTTACAGCACAATATCAAAGATAATTTCAAGTGAGCTCTAGAAAACTTCCAAATTAAGTACTCAAACGGTAAAGTTTAATTTAGTAATTAAATGGTTTCAAAAAGTATTGCTGCCTTTTGCCCTGTTGCCTAGTTTTGCGTTTCAGTGCATTTGAAATTTCACTGACAAGTGCTGAAGTTTTTTTGACAATAGCCATCCAATAAATAAATATGGCTACGCCAGGATGCCGAGGAGTTTCCAGACTATTGGAAAAACTGGAAAACTCAGTGAAAAATGGCGAATATTATGAAGCCCATCAGATGTACAGAACTCTCTACTTTAGGTAAGCGATTGGGCCCAGTTGTCTCCGCTCGAATGGCTTCGGCCACTTAACCCCATTTTTTAGGTACGTAGGCCAAAAAAATTACAAAGATTTAAAGGATATGCTATACCAAGGGTCAATATTGTTCCTCGACGCAAACCAGGTATGGTGGTTTAAAGTTTTTCAATGTTTATCAGTTGTTTTTCATCAATACGCGGACAACCACTTTTAACTATGATAATTCACCTAGTTGTTCATCGAATTGACGTTGTAAATCGCAATTCATTACTCATAAAGCAATGCCGTTTCCATATGCATGCATTAGGTTGTAAGGTTCTTTCCACACGTGCTTTGATTTACATGTTTTTACATGCTGATTTTTACAGTCCAAAGTTTACGGACTTTTACTGAGAAAACCCACTTGGCTGCTTTATTGGCTATCAGCTTTCTTGGGCGAAATCCAAGGCTAACACAGCTGTGTAACTCGCGGCGTATTACTTTTCTGCAAAGCTCAAAACCATCTTGTAAACACCTTTGAAGCTCTTTCGCTTAAACTTATCAACCCAAATCAGAGGAGATGTGGATTCAATATCCAACCAAACAGCACGAAACAGACGATCATGTTTTGTGACCGAAATGAACACACCAGAGATAACATCAGATGAGGTCACAGTAACAGAAAAGCCTCAGTTGCGAATGCTCTTAAACAGAGAATTAGAAAAATCCAGTCCATGTATCAGTTTGACTTGAAAAAGTGGTTCAGCCGCCAGAATGGCCAGATGAGATCTGGCGGTTAGGAAAATCGAAGCAAAATGATCAGACTTGCACATTTATAAGTCAATAGCGTTTCTACTAGCTAATTTAACGAGTTTTTTTCTTCGTTTTCAGAAAGCATCAGGCGCTGATTTAGGACTGCTTTTGATTGATGTGCTCATCAAATCTGAAGACAAAAGTACTGAAATCTGGTGCCGGAAATTGTCGACGTTATTTGCAAAAATTGGCACAACTTATGCAACAGAAAGAGATAGTTTTTTGGTGCAAGCTGTAAAGTGGTCATCATTAGGGTCTTCCCGAGGAGATCCCGCTTTACATCAAGTAATTTCAATTAAAACTTTCTCAAAACTAATCGTAAAAAACTGTTTTTTCTTTGTTTCAGTACATAGCAAAAGTTTACTGGGACGAACTGAATTACAACCAAGCCAGACACCACTACATCCACTCGCAAGATGGGAAAAACTGCGCCAAACTTCTGATTGAATTCCAAATGACCAAAGGATTCAAATGTGAAATAGACCTGTTTGTGGCACAGGCTGTCCTTCAATTTTTGTGCCTAAGAAATCAAATTACCGCTAGTCAAACGTTCACTACTTACACTGAGAATCACCCGACGATAAAGAAAACGGAGCCGCCGTACTTGCTGCCCTTGTTAAATTTCCTCTGGTTCTTGCTGCAAGCTTTGGAAACGTGAGTTTTTCAACATCACTAGCGAGTTGTAAGTGTAAATTTCTGATCATTTTAGCAAAAAACTGCAAACATTCGCCGTCCTTTGTGAGCAATATCAAAAATCGCTTGAACGAGATCCATGTTATCTGCAATATCTGGACAAAATAGGGCAGTTATTCTTTGGTTTAAAGCCCCCTCAGCCCAAGAAATCAGGCGGGCTGTTTGGCAGCCTGATCGATAATTTTTTAGGTGAGAATTTAAGTGATTGATTTTTGCCCCTACCGAGATCGTTCTCCATTTAGAAGGTTTAGAGGATGGCAGTGATGATGATGACGAGTCGGCCCGAGGCAACCCAGCCCCGTCCACATCACGGCAACTTCTGGAAAGCGCTGATCTTGACTAATAGCCACCTAACTGACTTCCGTTAATGTATATTTAGTAGCTTATGATTAAACTAAAACAGTTTGTACATAAAAAACCGATGTTGGGTGATTCATCGAGAAAACTCAGTGCTGAAACTGCGTTAGTTTGTGACATTGGGGCAATTTCTTCTCATTGCTGAAAGTTGAACTGCAAAAGACCGGTCGGTTTATAACGACGACCTCGGAGATTTTATTTGTATTACTAGACAGAAATGTAGTTTTTCATAAGGTGTTGAATGAAGATGAAAGGAAATTTTTGGGAGTGAGCGTCTGTGACCAGTTTGACTCAACTGCAGTGAAATTTTCTAGTGATTTTCAAATTTTGGAAACGTTTTGGTTTTAACGTTGTTTTGTTTTCATCAATGATTATTTGTTTTTCATCAGCTTGATAACTTGAACGCAATTGTAGAACAATTATCTTTAGGTACTTTTGGACGTAAACGGATTTTCTTGAAAAATTAAAAATGCCCTTAAATTGAGCGGTTTTTTATTTACCATTAAACACGTAGATTGCTAAATCCTCCTAAATAATTAACATGTGCGTAAATAAATGTGAACTAACAAACGCTTTATGTACATCAGTACACATTAAAGAATTATTTTCAAACTTTAAATATACAACAAAAATTATCGAGTAAACCTGTACATTAAGCCTGGGAAGCATAATGAAGTCATTATTACACTTACAATCAGTCAGGTACCTAAAACTACATGCTTGCACTAGTTACTTATGAGCAATAATATCAATAGCAGGCCTTTCGTATGTCAGTTTAGAATATCACAGAAATATTTGTTTAACAATACCGATTGCGAAATTTGGAAGACATTCATGAGCCAAACTGCTTTAAAGCTATATCCAGATTTTGTATATTTTTTGCAATTTTACCAGGGCCGCCACATAGGTCCTGAATTGTATTCTTTGTTAATTTTGAGCGCCAGCTCCCTTCTAGGAGATATTGGAGGACTCAAAACATGTCTCAAGTGTTGCTGAGGGTTTTGTTGCAGCTGCTGTTCATGCTGAAGCTGGATGTTCTGGGCAACGTGATCCAGCTGCTTGACACAAGCGTTGAGGTGCTGAAGAAGCTTTCTTCCAGCTGCAGGATCAACGGCTTCGCTTGGAGCAGGAGTGGAAATGAATTGCGTGACTTCTTGGGCGCATTGCGAAAACCCCGCTCGAAATCTGTCCGCGTACGACTGTTCTTGTGGAATAATTAGCTGATTTTGGCGTTTCAGGTTGTGCAGATACCTGACGGTTAACTCCAGAATATCCGCCTTTTCCAGCTTGGAAACGTTCTCGCCCTCACTTTGCAGAGCCGTTACCATGATCTCCTTCAACTCATCCAGACATCGGTTGATGCGCGCCCTCCTCTTCCTCTCCAGCATCGGCTTCATCACCTTCCTGTACTGGTAAGTTCTTGAAACGGGTTCCCCGCTACCACAATCACTGTTAAGCAAATAGGGCGTCGATGCCATTTTACGTAAGGTTCCACAACAAATGACTCGCGCTCTACCACCACGGTACCACCTAACATTTAAGAATGAAGTGACGTCGAAACGGCGTCATATAGATTTATATTTCTTCTTGCCCATGTTAGAGTGGGGCTTTGAGAACCATGCCAATGAATGGGCGCTCGCGCTCTTTCTACTTTTCGATGGGCTGTTCTAGCTTTAATGGTTTATGAGTGAAAGGAGGGGTAGGTTTGAGCGTATCAATGTGGGGCTAATTGGAATGTGGCAGCTTCGGTTGGTCATTAAGGGATGGCTTTGTTAACAACGGTTAAATGGGAGAAATGTTTTTTTGGTGTCAAAGTAAAAGCCCGCCTAGATGTTTGAAAATTCGCCTTGCGGCGAATTAAACGGAAGCTTGCGTTTTAATTGTTCCATCCATTCCATGTTCCAATCCATTTGAATGTTCTTCAACTCTACCTATCGCATTTTGCTAATTATTTAGCAAATAAGGCGAAAAAGGTATGGTATTAATTAT